CAGGCCCGTCGGTGGGTCTTTCGAGACAACGTCTCCATACTCCTTCACCACCGGGTAAAAGGGATCAGAAGGATCGTTTAGGATCGCCGATCCACTTCTTGCGCTCAGCGCCTTCTTGGTGTTCTCTAGGACCGCGTCGTCCATGACGGATGAGGAGTTCAACTCCTCCTCAGGTCCCAGCAGGACCACCTCGGCTAGCTCGCCTGCCTTTAAGGCTTCGCCAAACTCGGCAATGGACATCTCGTCCAGCTCTAGCAGAGCATCTGCAGCGGGCAGAGTGGCAAGGCTGATGTCGCCTTCTACCCCCCCCCCCGTCACTCCGTTCACGAGTGTGTACAGCTGTTCATAGCAATCACGTGAAGCCTCACCGCTCGTCACGTTGGACATCTCGTCCGACGTCGAAGACGTCACAGACGCCCTGCGTCTTCTTCTCCTCTCCCTCCGCGGCGTGGCGACATCTCCGTCACCACCACCGGGTGCAGCAGCACCATTACTCCCCGAAGAGGATACAGTGTCTCGCAAGACACTCGGCTGAAAGCCAAGAGGTCCTTGACCTTCCCACACTGAGCTAGGTGTCACTTTACCTGCATCGCCTGAGCCATGCCCATGCTGCCTCGACTCGCAGTCGACCGCGACGATCAGGCCACACAGCGGTAGGTCATCGACCAGATTCGTACCACTCAGTGGATTACGCGCCACTCCGTGCTCGTTCTCACCAGGACCCAGCAGTTGGCCATTGACCTGACCTGCACCGCTCAGCAACCTCGTTGCTAGCAATTTCGGACATACCAATGTCCAGCACTACGGCCGCCTCGGCCTCGTGCTCGCGCAAAAAGCGCTTCTGCTTCCTAGCAGAGGTGGGGTCATGACTCACCAAAACTCCACTAGGAGCAGGGTGCGACGCACCCAGCGTTTTCGACTTCCAGTCGATCCATGGCTCATGGCGTTCCAGCCATGCCATGCCAAGGATGAGGTCATACCTCGCATCCGTGTCTAAGATCAAACAGCGTTCCAGGCTATCGAAGTTCTCAAACTTCACTCCAAGGTCGACAGAGACCTTCGACACAGTTACCAGTGTCCCCGTCGCGAGACGGACAGAGATCGTATCTCTCGTTGGCACTTCCAGTGCTTCAGCATACAGCTGACTCCCTTCCAGGGTTGAGCAACGGGCGTAGTTGCCCGAGGCTCCCGAGTCAATCAAGCCTCTCCATGGCTTTGCAAAGCCGTTCACGTTCGCTTGAACGACCAGAAAGCCCGGCTTGCACACACTCTTCTCGTAAGAGAGCTCAGCTCTCTTCGGGGCTGAGCCCCGTTGCCCTCTACCTCTTCGAGGCACAACAGAACTCAGCTCTTCCCCAGTAGGCCGCCCCGCGCCTACTGGGAGCTGCCGATTCCCGGCGATGACCCGGAGGGTTGGCTCGCCGGAGCCTCGCGCTTCTTGCACAGAGGGCAATAGACACTCAAGTGCTTAGTGCTATCGCACACAAAGCATCGGCGGATGCCAGTGCGCTGCTCCGCAGCAAGAAGCTCCGCTTCTTTGTCTTCAGCATTGCTGAGATCCATCGGCTCTGGACCGCTCGAAGAGCTTGCGCTACCAGCGCTCCAACCAGATCGAGCCGACCTGAAGCTGTGCTCGGCATTTAATGCCACATCCACCGCCTCTTCGAAAGAGTTAGGCTGTACACGGAACACTTCCGTTCGAGCTGCGCTCACACGAAGTCCCTCCATGAACACAGTCACGCTGACCAGTTCCGGAAGAGGGTCCGCCGCCATTTCGGCGATAAGAGCTCTCAACTCTTGGACATAGTCCGATAACGCCTTCTTACCCTGGCGGGTAGCAAGGAACTTCGACCGGATACGGTACGCCTGGTTAGGCGGCGCGAACACGCGCGAAAGCTGTTGCTTCAGCTGATCCCAAGTGGGAAATGCAGCGTCAACAGACGTGCCGCACGTTAGTGCCCATTCGCGAGCGCGACCTCCAAGCCTGGAGATAGCCAGCGCCATGCGCTGATGCTCAGACTGGAGCAGGGCTAATCCCATGGCCATCTCGACCTCACGGGTCCAGAGAAGGCGATTCTCTCCATCCTTCTCCTCGAAGCTTTTTACGCTCACCATGAGCGGTTTCAGTCTCATAGACTCTTCACGCGTCATCGACGCCGCCGCCGTTGCGGCGCTCATCTTCTCTTAGGTGTGCTCCAAGAGCGCGTTCTCGTAGCGGGAGAAGGATTCGAGCCTGGCGGTGACCGCCTCTGGACCTTGTGATGCAAGATGAGCCACGCCCCCCCCCCCCGGGCCAAGCAAGGACATAAGCTTAGTAAGCGCGTCCTGCTGCACCGGGGGCAAATTCGCGAACACGGGGTGTTCCAACCTCGCAGAGGATACAGTCAACCGACTCAGGAGCGAGATTGACTACAAGTGCTACCAGGTGCAGCGGGGCTGCCGTAGCTTTAGCGTCAGAGTAAGACGTTCGACTCAAAAAGTCACTAATACTAAGTTCCTTATCCAAAGGACACTTACAACCCAAGACCAGGGCTCAAAGTTAATACCTTAACTTTTATGCTTCAAAACCAGAAGTGATTTTTTGAACTATTATTGCGGCCAAGCCGCCTAGGGGTAAATATCTCTCTTTAACTATCTAGCATAGTTAAATCTAATCAAATGCATAAGTGTGGCTTTCAGCCAAAGTACTGAGAGATCTTGTTAACTCTCCAACTTATGTACTGAGAGTATGTTGACTCTCCAACTTTTGTACTGATAGTTTGTTAGCTCTCCGGGTACTCCGTATCCCTGTGTATTCCACACAATGTAACCCAGTTACACTTGGAGCGTGTTTTCGCACCACTCTTCGCAGTGCCACGGCATGGTAAAGGTCGCTGTGGGGACCGAGGAGAAGAGCGCTCAAAAGCTGCTCGAGGCTCTAACTGTGAAGTGATCCTCCGCCGCGCCCGCGCAGCCAAGTCGATATATTTCGACTTTGAGAATGAGAGTTTGTGACGTACACTTCCTCGTTCTGATTGGTCGGTGAACCGAACCTAAATGTAACGGGGTACGTAGCCCCAAGTGTACCTCTAGCTACATGAAATCTGACGCGTCACACTTCGGGATATTTGGTACATGGTACCAGGATAGTTAGAGGCCAACCATTGGCTGATGACATAGCCTTATTAAAGGTGACTTATAGCCTGTATATTTACCTCCAGCTTAGATAACCTATACATTCATTCAGCTTACAACTTACCTTAACTTAGACAAAAGGGACCTGTGCACTACTGTTCACTGAGAGATTGTATACTCTCGAAAACCAACTTCCTCTAGCGCAAGGTGCTGTGTGACCGCGTCACAAGCGTATTCATGGTGTGCTAGCTCACTTATGTATTGACTGTGTTTATGCGGATTTGTCTGAGCGCTATTGAAAAAATGTAAGTGTCACAATAATGAAAGGTAACTTGTGATTTGCTTCAATGATCTGGATAGGTGTCCCACTTTTTCCTCAGTAGGTCTAGCTAGTGCTTGTCCATCACTACGGGTCCAGCCTTCCAGATGTGCTGCACCGACGTCAGCGACCGTTCCTAGCACCGTGTCGCTATATTTGTTGCCGACCATCTCGTAGTGTCCGTCTTCGTTGTGCGCAATGCGCCTCAATCAGTTACAATACCTTGAATAGTCGTGACAGCTTTAAAAATAAATAAATAGAGCAACACTTCTTCAATTTAAAAGAGTTGGCAGCAAAAGGTTAAATTTCTCTACGTCATTGCTACGCATCGTTGGTGAAGTAGTAATTCATATTGCCCTAGGAATCCTGGACAGCCAAATTCTGCCACGAACTGTGCTACCAGACCACGCTTAATACGAAAAGAGCAGAGCCGAGCATGTGTAGAGCTGTTAATATTGTAAGGTATGCTTATCTTACATTAATTGCAGGAAAGATCCGGTATTACCACGTAGGTCGCAGACGATCTGTTTTTATTACTGACGCTCGTAGATACATGTATTAACCCTTCTTTTTTTCATACATTTTAAGAAGTGCTCGGCTCGGAGGACCGGAAATTGAATCGGATGTTTTGAGAAACAAGCAACAGAAGCCGTTTCGATACCATAACAACAAGAGCTCGGATCTCTTTCGAGCAGAAGAAGAAAACTCGGAGCCAAATACGTTTTTGACTGATTTTTTTTTCAAAGGCTGTTTTCTGTCTACTCGAAATGCTAAATGTGTACTTCATATAGATTAGTAGCTTAAGCTTAACCAACTAACGAAAAACATTCGAATAGAAGCCCTGTACAGATTAGTACCCCGTAGTGAATTTTATACAAGCCCTTCACATATTAGAAGCCCGGTCATATATTCGATTACTACCACCTGGACTACAATTGTTACAGCGCAGTTTTGCTTCGACTCAATGATACAGAAGTGTTTGTCAATCCGTTAGAGCAACATTACCCCAATAAAACCTACTCCAATTTATGGTGAGTACATTTATAGCTAGCTCCCTTTTAGTACCAACCTCATTTTTCTGCCAGCACTGGTCATTCGTTAGTGTATCGATCGCCCGTTTTAATATGCAAATTATTAGAAGCCCAACACGAGTTAGTACCCCCCTAAAAATATGATGACTTGGGAGGGGGCACATTTTACTAGTATTAATAGTCGGGGCACTAATCGGTGAAATTGTGTGAATAATACAAAATAATAGGGCAATATTTGTATGGAATAATTTATATTTCAGTCCTGATGAAAACTATCAGTAAAATATTTCTATAAATTATTACAAAAAAAAATACTTTACCTGGTTTTAATACATGGAAAAGCATGCCGGTACCTTTCCTTAGCTTTAAATAAATTTCGGAGAATATAAAAAAGGCGATTTAAAGCGGAAACATTTACGCATTTCAGAGAGAGTGAACATGTACTGTATTGGGGCGTAACTACACTGGATACGACAAGGAAACGTAGCACAACGAGGGTGTTGGCTTTCAGACACGACGTTTGACCATCCTCAAAGTTACGCGCGCAGCATTCTCGCGCTGCCCTTCACTAAGGCAGCAGCTTTCTCGGCCGCGCCGGGAACGCTGTCCATCGGATAGGTCATGTGGGCCATCGTGTTAAAACCATTGCCGCAAACCGGGTCTCCCATGTTGCAGAACTCAATGGCCTTAGAGCCGTAAGTCGAGCTGGAGCTTTCAATGGTCTGGCCCATGAGCTTAAGCGGATTGCCGAACGTTACCACAGCTTTGATGCGCGGCGCCAGGGTTTCTGGGATGGATTCACCTGTGCCAAGCATGGTCTTGATGCCAAGCGAGATATCGGTGACACTAGCGCCTTGTGAGTACCCTCCAAGGACGAATACCGTGTTCGGACACTCTTGCGCGATAGACACGACGTGGTTGGTCATGTCGGTGGCGCCAGGCCCAGCGCTAGTTTGATCCATGGAAGCGAGGTAGCTGACCGCATATGAGGAAACGCTCATACCGCCGAGGTTCGAGGTGATCCCACTGACCAACGGCTCGCCGCAGATACCAAGTCCTGGCATCTCGCCACTTCCACGGGCGAAGACAACATGCACGTCGGAGCACTGGGCTTGGACAACGTTGGCTGAACTGGAGAGAAGGAGAGAACCAACGATGACGGTGCAGGTCGAAGCAAGCTTCATTGTTGTTGCAGACTTGTTCTTGATACTTGCGAGCTGAGTAGAACGAGCGAAATTGAGGAATGGTCGAGTGACTTATCTGTGTAGGATGCATGCTCTGGTAGACCCGACTCAGGTGCTGCATGTACACTGTAGTACACTGTTCGTACACTGTACATAAACGCGCATATGCTGCCCACAATCGGTCTTATCGGTGCAGTGAGCAGGCGTAAATACACAGAATGCACTTTGCATCTGCCACGAGAGAGAAAAAAAGAGAGAATACACACGGCCATCAGCTCTGATGTTTTTTAGACAGTGGAAATGCATGTCAAGGTTTGCGGTATGGTCTTCGCTAGCCAATTCTTTTGCTTACTCTTGCATGCAGGTTGCCATTGAACCTACTATTATAAATGAGAGCACAATATAATAGATGAGTCAATTGTAGTATTCGCACTGAATATCGATGCATCGTATGTTTTGCTGTTAACACGACACAAACCAAATGGTTTTCGCACGTGGTGCTCACAAAGCTGCATTGTACTACTTGTTCGAGTTCAAGGTGAGGCTTCTACAATTAGGACCTCCCCCCTGTGTGAGGCCGATTCAATTGGAATCGATGACCAGACCCGTTCTATTAATAGTAAGCCTGATTACCAGTTGTTCAGATATAAAGAAACAGGTTTTGGTAAGGTTTGCCCGCAATCACGCGCATTTTGAGGAGATCTCGAGCTTAACCTTCGCTTTCATCAGCACGCACACACCAACTTGAAAAATACGCCCACCAGCTAATGCCGTGCGTTGCTCGGGAAGCTCAGGATGTTGTCGTTTCCTCACTGTAAAAGCGTTTTCTTCTTAGCTGGTATAAGTTGCGACCGTTTTTCCACAAAGCCAACAAATCGCACTATAATAGCGAGGCGCTTGTTCGTTTGTTTTTTTACCCTCTTTAGTGGACGCTAACGTAACGCGAGCGAAGTACATCCATCAACAGCTTTGTCAAACAACTGATTTAAAGTGTGAGTTTCTCTAACTCCAAGACTCACTCATTAAACGTCCTCTGAAAGCGCAAGCCAGTCGTTGATGACAGCTTACATTGCTTCGAAAACTAGAGTCGAAACAGCTCTACCGTGAGTGTTATGGCTACATATTAGGTTGCTTGAATGTCGTTCTTATCCGACTGAGTCAGCTTTCACCCGTAATTTCACAATGCCGTGTTGCACACGGGGAAGCTCTGGATTTTGTTTTAGCGAAAACATCCTACTTTACCGGTCCGCTAAAGAATGACCCGTTCATTTAACTTGCGATAACTTTAAGTCTGTCGAATAAATGTAGACAGAGTGAGTTTCATGGTAAAGCTCTTTATTCGCACTACTCCCAATTTTTTTGGCGAGGCGCAAAAGCGTCAATATCGAACATTTAAATGATCACTTTGTAGAGGCTGAAGTTTTTGTTCGCAGCATCATCAAATATAATCAAAATCAAACTTTAGATATCCTGAAGAAGGAGGTCGAAAAGCAACCTGATTCATAATCGCTTCGAAAACAGCCAATCAGCTTGGCTTACAAATCGGCTATTGATGCATTTTTATCCAATCATATACGTAAGAAACTGGATATGGAACAATCAAACACACGAGTTTTTTTTAAAAACACTCTGTTATTTTTTTTAGGACCGGAGAAGTCATATATACTACTCTAGTATAAGCTTGAACTAGCAGTGAGTAGAATTGCTAAGTGTTACAAGATACTTGTACCTACACATTTTCAGAATTAGAGGTTGGGCCGGTTGCGTAAATGTTCAATTCGGTAGAGTACCGTATCGTCGTAGTCCTAGGCGTCACTTCAATAGCAAGATTTTCACATCGCATGCACAGACAGATGTGAGCAAATCATGATTTTACGAAACGTTGGGAAGGAAATACGTGCAATGTAATTATTCGACATTGCTGTTTAGATCATCGTCAGATTCGATGTCATCGTCCGAATCGACATGGCCGTCGGCAAGGTTGCAATTCTCCAGCTCTTCGACAATACCACTGTCAGTGTATGCAATCTCGATATCCGTCAGATCCGCTACTGTGCGCGTGTCGCTAATGATGCCAATCTTATCACACCCGCTTACAATTGTCTCCTTTGAAAGATCTGTCCAACACGTCGAAACCCACTCAGTGATGTCAGCTCGATTAGGTGGCTTTAATTTGAACGGGTCTTCTGTGTGCAAATCTTGAAGTCGTTTGACTTCGTCATCGGCCCGTTCTTGGGTCAAATCTTTGCGAGCTCGTGCAATCAACGAATGAAGCTCTTCTCGCTTGTGCTGGCGTCGTTCTTCTGCAGCGCGATACTCTACAAGCTGGTTTCGTAAACGGCAAACCCACAATGTGCGTAGCCTAGCTTTAAAAGGCTTATTCCATGATATGTCTGCCGGTTGGCAGACATAAGTGTATCTCGGTGGGACTTTGAGAAGGACAGCGTTAGTCGATGCCGCGTATTCCTCGACTTCATCGGCCCAATGCCCGCTAAAGTCATCCCAGATTAGTAAAATGTTTTCATCCAGATTCGCTCGCTCAGCAAAATGAAATTGTAGAAATCTGACAGACAACTCTGAATTCCACCACGCGCATTTGTTTCCGTAAATTTGGCAGCTAAGTCGTTTTTGTAATGGACTAATTTCGCGATTCCACATTGTTGGACTAAATCCATGGCGCAGAGCGTCATTCTCGACGCGTTTGGTCGTTATTGGTGAAGGTAGGCATTTAAATACTAGAAAAGTATCCAACTTATTACCTTCCCAGTCTGCTAAGAGCATGACAGTAGCTCGAGCCTTCTCCTTATTACCACACCTCACCCATACAGTCTTAGCACCACGCTGGTCTATAGTCTGCTTTGGCAAGTACTCATAATTCACGGCTACAGTGCATGTTCCTCAGCAAATCAAAATAATATTAACATTTAAAAAGATGTACCGTACCCGTTTGATCTGCGTTGTATACTTGTACACACTGCCTGTCGGTTATTGTCTGCAGCACCAATGTCCGGAACGATCTAGCCGCTTCTAGAGCGTCCTCTGGTGTCGTTTGCCCCTGTCTCGTACGTGCACGAAGTGACAGTTTGTGCCGTTTTAGAAAAAGCTTTATTCACGTCGGTGAGGCAGCAAATTTGCTCCCAAGCCCAATGTCACAAGCAGTCTCTTTTGCCTCTAGCTGCAACATGAGACGCGACACAGGTGCGCCATCCTTTCGTATGAAGTTGAGCCAAAGGACGATCGACGCTTCGGCCGCCTTGGAGAGCACAGTTGCATCACCAAGACTACGTAAATTTTGGTGCCTGCCGCGGCCCGACTCACACGCAGCACGGATATCAGCGGATTGTTTGGCCCACTTGTTGATCTGCTTCTTTTTAGCTCGTACTGCAGCATCGGTCAGCTCACCGTAGAAGTGTGCAATCGTTTCATCAAGACTGTGACCTTCTTCATTGTAATTTAGAACATCCCTCTTGTGTGAATACTCCACCGCTGTGCGTTGATACGACTTTCGCTTCTTGCCTTGCCCATTTATACGAGGGCGGCCCATGGCTCTGTTGGCTGGTGCTTTTCTGACAATGAAGCGTTGTTTTATCCTAACTGACTCTAAAATTAGCTGTCACCCCAAATGTAAGTAGCAAAACCACCTGCCAGAAATACCGCTTTCTGATTGGTTTTTGGTAGTCTGACCCTTAAAAGTAAACGACGCTTATGACTACGACGCTACGGTAATACAACATGTGCGGGAAAACCAGTCCTGTAATAGTTTCGCTAAATCAGTACAATCGTCGATCAGCGATCTCGGGGGTTGGACAAGAAGCCGGACGCTTAGCTCGCGTAACATGAAGGGGGGGGGGGTAGAATTTGGCTTGCAAACTGCACACTAAGACCTGTGTATTTGAAATGTCAGATCGTTAGCTCCCAGTTGATGCTGGACGCTTAGCTCGCTTAACATGAATGGAGACGTTAACCAGGCAGTCGCCGGGAGCGGTACCCAGGCCGTCACCAGTGATTGATTTGACGGAAGCGTATCATGACGGGTACTAAATGTGAATTTGAAGAGAAAAACGTTTGCCCGGTTGATGCTGGTCGTTTAGCTCGCGTAACATGAAATTATTGCGCCTTTAATTGCAGACTCAAGCCATTTGCTTTCCTTTTTACTACCGGTATGGATGAATATCATCAATTCTCCGACCCTACTTAATTTTAGTATTGGTATTTATCACCAATCATCCGTTTTTATTTATTAAACAATCAATCGTATGGTCTTGACAAAATGATTTGGCCAATCCAAATGGTAAGGGTTAGGCTGGTCATTGTTGGAGTTGGCTCCGACATATCGAGTCAGAGGAGTTATTAATATCCTTTTACAAACTGTAAATCATTCACATATTTATCCAAAAACGTGAAAGCTCCGACATCTCCGACTCAGTATGAGCCTCAACGATCTTGCGCCCGCCAACACGAAGCGCGCTCGGGAAAACGCAGCACGCTCGTTTTTAGCTTTTCTAAAATACGAAGATGTGACGTGGGAATACTTGGAAGCGTCTATGAGCCGCGATACGGTCGCGCGGGCTCTAGAAGGTGTGGTGGACCAATTTGGCAAGTATCTCGCCTTCAAGGAAGGCTGCAAGGGACAGCTTCTAGCGCGACACTCGGTGATGCAGTACTACCGACAGGCAAAGAACTGGTTGCTCGACCAGTTTCCCCAGCATCGTGTCGCAGTTGAAAATAATCTGCTCAAAAAAGGCCAAGTGCTGGAGCGCTACTGTATGAAACGCGAGGCAAGAACGTTTGTTTGCAAGGCCCAGCATGCACGAAGAAAGCTCTTAAGCAGATGGCCGAATACTTGTATTCAACTGCAACTTGCGCCAGCGACTACCAAGATGCGGCGCTCTTATGCTTACTCTGGTACCTCTTCGGGCGCGCGTCGGACCTGCTTCTCCGTAAAACGAATCTGACGATTGGATTCGGCGATATCTTTTTCGTTCGGCTCATCCGGGTCA